CAATTGATTAGCATTCAAACTATTTATCATTGCATCACACCATTTTGATGCTCCAGACACACTTGAACACAAATAAACTATACTTGTGTTTGCACATTCTTTAATAAGCACATCGGCAAAAACAGGGTCCGCATCGTATTTAGCTAAATCACTACTCAATTTTTGAGTTTTGAATTGTTTTGATGGTTGTCGCTTCTGGCAGTATTGTGGAGTTTTCTGGGACCATTGACAGGACTGGCTTACAAGAGGGCCTACCCACTTCTATCCTGCTTTTCCGTAGTCCACCAGTGCCGACTGGGATCTTCCTACGTCGGCCTACGATCAGCTAACCTACCTAGGGCATATGGTACAAGGTGGCCGGGATTGTCACTGGAAACAGGACTTGGGGACTGGGGCTGGAACTAGAACCAGGATGACAGTGGTGAAATCCTTTCATTATGCTCATGTTCTATGTTGTCCTATAGGAAATGGAATAATAATTCATTTACGTTTTCTTCAATGCATGTAACTAGTGGCAGTTACAATGTGAAGATTAGCATCTATCTCTACACTATTAAAATTGCTAAGGGAACCAATTTCTGATCCGGGCCGTTGTCGGTCCTACCGGCCCATGGCCAGGATCGTCCGAAACATGTAATAAATCTGAAATCCCAGCCATCGGGTCCTACCGGATCGATGGGCCGGATTGGCGCGTGGTCTTAAGATCTCAAGATCACGCGTCAATCCAGGCCGTTGGCCCGGTACCTCCGGCCCGACGGCCCAGATCAGTTGCCTGTTGGAGGGGACCGCGGTACCTACCGGTACGGTCTCTTGGCGCAGTACCTACCGGTACGGTCTCTTGGCGTGGTACCTACCGGTATGGTCTCTTGGCGTGGTACCCAACGGTACAGTCTCTTGGCGCGGTACCTACCGGTAGGTTTTTGTCTTCTGTTCACTCTGTTGTTATCGTATGTGCATTTGTACGGACATTTGTCCGTTTCTTCGTTGGTTGTCGTTTGAAGCTTCGCCCATCGTGCAGCACGCTGTCGTAAGCGAATAAGTTTTACTCCGCTGTGGGCGCTGTCTCGTATTGATCCCCTTCCCCCCCCCCTCCCCTCTCTCTTGCGCGCGTGCGCGCATGTGGTTTTTCCATTTTATTTGTTTTTTTTTCAAGGTGTCCCCAAGGACAACGGATCAGATAAGAAACTGTTCGGAACAGACACTACACCTGATCGTGTTTTTTTTTTCTTTTTTCGGGGGTGCGGGTGCGCGTAGTCAGCTAGATTGGGGTCTCTCTCTCTCGAGCGCACATGTGTGTACGCGAGAACCTGAGCACAAGAGAGAGAGAGAGAGAGAGAGAGAGAGAGAGAGAGAGAGAGAGAGAGAGAGAGAGAGAGAGAGAGAGAGAG